CTTATATATGGAAATGCTAAACTAAGCTGGTTAAAGATTCTCTATTAACATTGCCAAAAGTATTTCTGAAACAGCTTTTATTCGCTCTTGATTCCCTACCATGGGACTCCTCCCCTCCTCTCCCCCCCCATCATGGAAGTGACTCAAATGTTACAACTCCCTCAGATCTTACAGCTTGAAATAGCAAGGCAGTTGATTAAAGTCAACAGTAAAATGACTGTTTTAGTAATAGCAGTGTAGGAACTTAAGTTGAAAGTTTGGTTGACACACATAGAAACCAAAAGGATTAGAGTCCACTTCCAATCTATATTTGCATTCTTAATAAATCCCAGCTGTATATAAGAACACTATGCTAAGCAAACGATCTTCAGTAAGTTATTACAGTAAATCAAAAGAAGTTGTTGATAAGTGGTTGTGATGATCATCTCGATAGGAATTGTGCTTAAACAGAGCATTTCTACTTGTACCTTGTAGTTATATCCTCAGTACATCTTCTTTGCCCAATTCTGGTTCAAAAGATGTCTATCCATATTCTAGGTTCTGCATAGGCTTAACTGTGGAACAAACCAGCCATTTTTGCTATTTTCTAGCAACTATCATCTAAGTCTTCCTTACCCCAATCCAACATTAATTAAATTAAACATTTTTTCGTATTTATACATTTGGATTGTTCTGTGGTCTCTAAATAAATAGGAAGTTATCCTTTATCAGGACATTTGAGAAATTCCTTTTTCCTTTCTGGATCCTTTGGTTCCATAACTATATAGATAGGGTGCTCCGCTTCTCTAGGCAGCAAAACTTCACGTTCCTGCATGTAAAGTCAGATTGAAATTCTTAGAGCAATTCATATCCCAAGTAAGGAGTTTTATCTGATGCTGAGAAAATCAGCTTCAGCCACTCATTCCATCTGAACTCAGCTGGCTGCTTTCCCAGAGTTCCCACTATGACTCCTGTTTTATTACTGGTTTTTTTCTCATTCTCACTCTTCTTTATCACTTCTTTTCTTCCACAGTTACAACCTCAGATTTTCTGACTAGGTTGAGCACTGCTTTTAAAAACCTTTCAAGTCTGGCATATATTTATACTCCTATCCACACAATTTACAAGCAAATATGTGTAGATTGTGTCTTGAATTTCAGATTTGATTGCCAGGATTGTCTCAGGTCAGATAAGATAAGGCAGAGTTTAACTGGAGTGGGGGAGTTTTAGCTCTGTGGTCACTAAGATTTGCCAATGTCTCGATGGCATACAATCAAGCTATAGAGAGGAAAAGTGCAACTGTCTAGCAGTATTTGACTCTTGTTCTCCTATTATAAATCTACTATACTATTTAGATTATTAAGTCAAAAGATTACTTATTTGCATTAAATAATAGTCAGAGCCATTTTATAGATGCCTATCTATGAATCAGCCTGTTCTGTAAGCTAATATAATTGCTGCCTATCACTGGGCAGAAGTATGGGGCTGTTATCAGAATCGAATTTGGATAGGAAGGAAGATCAGGATTTCAGCCATATCCTGCAATTTCCATGTCTGTCTAGTTCTGAATGTGTGTGGTCTACATGTCAAATAGTAATCTTGGTGTATAATGGAATGGGAACTAATTCAGGGATGATTCAAAGAATATTTTATGAGCTAGTTTCATAACCTGCTGTGATATGCAATACACTTAATTTTTTCATGTATGTTCATTATATCAAATCTTGAATCTATTGCAAAAACATAGAACTCAAGGGGTATGGTCTAATTTAAGGAAAAAGGAGGAAATCCCCATGGACCTGACCCAGGTAATTCAGGATCCAACTCATAGGGGTGGTCACACACTTGACCTAGTGTTTCTCTCGGGGCAATGGAGACATGATCTGGAATTAAGGGGAATAGAGATCTCGCCCTTGTCATGGACAGATCATTTCCTATTGAGGCTGGACTTCAGAGCATCACTCCCCCATCGCAGGGAGATGGAGCCGACTAGGTGGTTCCGCCCCAGGCGCCTAATGGACCCAGATCGGTCCCAGGAGAAGCTTGGGGAAATACCTGACTCCCTTGTCCACAACTCGTCCGGGTCCCTGGTTGCGGCCTGGAATGAGGCGGCGTCCAGGGCCCTGGATCGAATTGCGCCTTTGCGACCTCTCTGTGGTGGTGGTCCCCGGAGGGCGCCTTGGTTTACTGAGGAGCTCCGGGAGATGAAGCACCACAAGAGACGTCTAGAGCGACGTTGGAGGGCCAGTAACTCTGAATCTGACCGATCACTATTAAGAGCCTATCTTAGGACTTATTTAGTGGCGATAAGGGCGGCAAAGCGTGTTCACTTTTCCGCACTTATTGCGTCCGCAGAATCTCGCCCGGCCGCCTTGTTTAGGGTGACCCGCTCCCTTCTTAAAGTGGAGGAGGCGGAGGAACCCTTGCAGGGGAGAGCTGAGGAGTTTGTTCAGTTTCTGTCGGACAAAATCGCTCAGATTCAGAGAGACCTGGACTCCGACTGGACAGTACCAGCCGAGTTGCCAGGGGCTGGTCTTAGTCATGTTATCTGGAGCGAGTTTGAGCCTGTGACCCCTGATGAAGTGGACAAGGCCGTGAGGTCAATGAATGCCGCCACCTGTTTATTGGACCCGTGCCCTTCCTGGCTGGTTTCTGCCAGTAGGGAGGTGACACGAGGCTGGCTCCAGGCGATAATCAACGCCTCCTTGATGGAGGGGTCTTTCCCGCAACCTTTAAAGGAAGCGGTGGTGAGGCCCCTCCTCAAGAAGCCTTCCCTGGACCCAGCTGTTTTGAAGAACTTTCGTCCCGTCTCCAACCTCCCCTTCGTGGGGAAGGTTGTAGAGAAGGTGGTAGCATCTCAACTCTTGTGATCCTTGGATGAAACCAATTATCTGGACCCTTTTCAATCTGGTTTCAGGCCTGGCTACAGCACTGAGACTGCTTTGGTCGCACTGACCGATGACCTCTGGCGAGCCCGGGATAGGGGTTATTTCTCTATCCTGGTGCTTCTTGACCTCTCAGCGGCTTTCAATACCATCGACCATGGTATCCTTCTGCTTCGTCTCGGAGAGGTGGGGGTGGGCGGCACCGTATTGTGGTGGTTCTCCTCCTACCTCTCTGACAGGTCGCAGTCGGTGTTGGTGGGCAGACAGAGATCGACCCCTAGGCACCTCGATTATGGGGTGCCTCAGGGCTCGGTCCTGTCCCCCCTCCTTTTTAACATCTACATGAAACCGCTGGGTGAGATCATTCGGCGACACAGTGTGAGGTATCATCAGTACGCGGATGATACCCAATTGTATATCTCCACCCCGTGTCCTTTCAGTGAAGCAGTCGACGTGATGTGCCGGTGCCTGGAAGATGTGAGGGTCTGGATGGGGGTGAACAGGCTTAGACTCAACCCTGACAAGACCGAGTGGCTCTGGGTCTTGCCTCCCAAAGGCCAACTGGATGGTCCATCTTTAGTCCTGGGGGGGGGGCAAATTTACCTCCCTCAGTGCAGGCACGCAACTTGGGTGTCCTCCTGGACTCACAGCTAAATCTGGAACAACATCTATCGGCTGTGGCCAGGGGGACCTTTGCACAGGTTCGCCTAGTGCACCAGTTGCGGCCTTATTTGGACCGGGAGGCTTTACTCACAGTCACTCATGCCCTTGTCACCTCAAGACTGGATTACTGTAACACGCTCTACATGGGGCTACCCTTGAAGGGCGTTCGGAGGCTGCAGTTGGTTCAGAACGCAGCCGCGAGAGCGATTGTGGGCGCGCCAAGGTACGCCCACGTGTCACCTATCCTCCGCGAGCTGCACTGGCTTCCTGTGGGTCTCCGGACGCAATTCAAGGTGTTGGTTATCACCTTCAAAGCCCTTCATGGCATAGGGCCAGGTTACTTACAGGACCGCATTCTGCCGCACAGCTCCCAGAGACCGGTGAGGTCCCATAGATTGGGCCTCCTTCAGGTCCCGTTGGCCAGACAATGTCAGCTGGCTGGCCCTCGGGGAAGGGCCTTTTCTGTGGTGGCTCTGACCTGGTGGAATCAACTTCCTCCTGAGGTTCGAACTACTCCCACCCTGCCGGCCTTTAAGAAAGCCATTAAAACTCTCCTGTTCCGGCAGGCCTGGGGCTGATGTCCCCGGGGGGGCGGGATATGATCGGACTCGCGGTATGACTGGATTATTTTATTGTTTTACGACTGTTTTTAACTTTGTACGCCGCCCTGAGTCCTTTGGGATTGGGCGGCATATAAATATTTGTAAATAAATAAATAAAATAAATAAATAAAGGGTCAGTTATATCACTGAGTCCAAATGCTGATAGGTGGACATCCAAATCAGTGCATCTCAGGCAAATGTCTGGCGAGCTTCCAATTAAAGATAACCAAGCTCACTATCTCTTTGGCTAATTGGTTCTATTTTCAAATTGCTATTTTTGTTAGGAAGATTTTTCTAATACTAGGTCAGATTTTGTCTCTCTGCAACTGAAATCTGGAATGAGAAACAGCAAACCTTAAGCTTTTTCTGTGTGACATTCCTTCAGATGTTTGAAGTGTTGGCATGTCTCCTCTCAGACATATTTCCATGCCAAACATATTACCCCACAGTAGCTGAATTTACACCATACACTTCATTGTCTTTTTGAATTAATCCATTTTTGGGGATTGCATAATTCCTCTAAATATGAAACAACTAATTTAATCCAAATGTACATAAAACACCAAAAATTCTAGTTAATCTAGCTTAGCATGTTGTGCAAATGCAAGCATGGTTTAATTAATATTGTTCAAACCTATCCCCTCAATTCCTTGACAACTGTTTTCCCTCAACTGTCTTTCATTACTGGAAAGAAGTTGAGCTGGGAGAAAACATTTCTGGGATGAGTGACAAAAAGGAAGAAATGATAGAAAATAAGGAAATTCCTGTAGTCGCTTGTAATGTGCTCCTTTGTTAATAGACTCCAGTATCTGGTTTCTATGTGACATGAACATAATATCAACCTTGAACATACTATCCATTTTCCCAACAGACCCCGAATCCCAGAGAAAGAGGACAGTACAGAATGTGCTCGATCTGCGGCAGAACCTTGAAGAGACCATGTCCAGTTTACGGGGCTCCCAGGTAACTCACAGGTGAGATCTCTGCTCTTGGTTCCCTTTGCTCTTGACTAAAACACTGAAGTGACATTTTGCCGGATTAGTATAAATCAGTTGGCCAATTTCTGTTTGACCTTTTATAAAATCAAAGGACAAAAGCGCTAGCATGGCTCAACTAGTAAAAAGCAAAAGGTACCTCTATCCTAAAGGTTTAGGATTTTGAAAAGCTGCCATTAGAAAGGCAGCTGCCCTATTTTCCATATATGCTGTTCTTTTCTGCAGATGCTGATTTTATAAAATTATTCAGTTCTTTTAATTAAGAATCAGTTCTGTTCTTTAACCTTGGGCTTCCTCTTTTCTGCATGCTGTGACTTGCGTTAATGGCATTAGGATGTATCCTGATGTTGACAGCAGTGAGATTAGCCTATGTTCTGATTCAGAAAGTCAAGGCACATTTATTCAAAACACCAAATACTGTATAGTATTTCTAAATATAGAACACTATGGTGTATAGAATACACCAAACTCTAACCCTGATGTGTTAGGCTTGTTTTGATTTAACCTGATGTTTGATCTCAGCTGCTACAACTTAGTCTTACACATGAATCAAACTGTTATGGTTAATCAACAAACCCTGGTTAAAATATTTGGTTTCATTATGAATGAATCCTCCCAGAATCCAGTATCTTGCTTCATAAATAATCTTTGTAGTCTTAAATGGTGATGGAATTGTGAAGTTAGCACACAGAGCTGGAATCGTAGCACTCCCGTTCCTCAGACGAGCTTTGGCAGCAGCCTCTGGGTAGTAAAACTTTCCCTTGGCTCCCTATGATCCAAATGAGCTAATGCATGACAGCAGCTTTTTGGACCTCCAATGAGCAAACCACAGCTATGTGTCAATGTAATTTGGTGGAAAAAATGGAAGGAATTGGCTGGCAAGGTGATCATGGAAATGGTGATCAGATTATTTTTTTACCATCTTAGGGAATGGGGAAAACATGGTTACCATCAGCTCACTTTTTGTGCTCAGTTCTATATTTTAACTCTCTGGTATCCTAAATTACATTCTGAGCTGTTCAGCAGAGTGTGGATAGTGACCTTAATAATACATCAACACAAAAAGAGATGCTTACCCATACTGTCTGGCAATGTGAATTTAACTTCTTTCTCAAGAGCTTGTTACCCCCAGTTTGAGTTTGAAATGATTAAAACAGCTGGAATCATTTGAAAATAAATCCAGAGATTAATGCAGGTCATAGATTGTGTATGCAGCTCACAGATTTTGTACGTGTGTGTGTGTGTGTGTGTGTGTGTGTGTGTGTGTGTGTGTATTTGAGTGAACTTCAAGTAATAACTGACTGCTTCTCTAAATGCAGAACTCCCTCAGTGTTGCTTAATGGTGTCTTAGTTTCTGTCCTGTTTTTCTACCCCACATCACAAAAAGGGATTCTGGTTCACAATGCAAAATAGGAGTCTCACATTGACTGCCTCCCTCCATGTGAGGCGAGAGCTGGCAAATGAGATCCACCCAGATGAGTCACTGCAGCACGAGATCCAGCCAGGGAGGACTGCTGGGCTGCTTCCAGTTGATTTGTTTAGCTTAATGTGCAGAGGTTGGATCAAGGGAGATCGCTTCAGGGAAAGAATCCAAGGCGTTTGTTACTTCTATAGAAGGCTTGTTTTGAGAGAGCTCGGCTAGGCAAGAGGAAAAGCAAGGTGAAAAGTATATGGATCTTGAGAGATGAGAAGATTCCAATATAACAGAATCTCTGTGCATATCATTGGCTACAAATGTGCCTTCTGCCAGATAGATTCAAGGCAATCAGTTTCTTTAAGGATGTTTAACAGCTGCATTTATGCTTATGCCCAACAGGAAGCCAATCATTCATCCATTCATTGCTTGTGATGTATACAAGAACTAGAGAAGTGGTTTCTAAAGAGTAGCTATTTTAGTGTCTTGAAGTTGAACCAAGAAGAGTCTTGTGACACTTTTTAGTCTAACAACACAGGTATTCATAGACTGCGATCTCTTCTTCAGATGCAAGGCAGGGATACTCGCTGTCTGTGAAAAAAGCATTTGAAAGGCATACTGTATCTTTAGAATGAAAAGATATGCATAGGCAGCACTATGTGTGCATAAGCCTGTGACTTGAGATGTATGTGATATCCTTGATGAAATGACTTGCAGTCCATAAATCATAAGTTAGTCTTTAAGGCCCACAATGCTTTTCTTTTTGTTGTTTCTGAAGGAAAGATTAAACTAATGTTATAGCCAATAAATTCAATGATTAAAGGACATATTGTACAGTGGTAAAACACACTATCTCAAATTCAGATTATAACTTATATTCTTTCACAGTGGATTTCATTGTTCTAAATTCATTTGGCTGTAATCACATAGCAGTTTCTGTGTATTTGTTCTGTGTGTCAACTAGTCTTCAGATGACAGGTCAATGAACAGTGGTGTCTATTACTTTCTTTTCGGTTTTCATTTTAGATATTAAAAGTTCTTAGATCTAAAATCAGTGTGCTACACCCTTAACAATATTTTTTCAATGGAATCTTCTCTCTCTGGATCATTAGGAAATAGCATCGTGAAATTCAATTAGTCACAAGAAATAATAATTAAAATTGAGTACAGTGAATCTTTCTCCAAGGATAATGAGTAAATAGTCAATATTATTCATTTAGAACTGCTCATATATTGAATAGTAAAAGAAATGTCAATACTAAACAGCATGCATGTTGAGGTTCCTTTGCTAGTTTTCTTTTTGCCCTGGAACCCTCAAAGCTTTTCCTGAATAAGGCATAAAGTCTTCACTAGGCTTCCACAAGCACAGCAAGAGAATGGTAAAAACTCTCTTTGAACTTTATTTCTCCTCTGCTTGCACCAGTATGCTTTCATATATAAAGAAACTGTTAGAGGGGAATAGCTTAAAGCCTTCCAATTGATAAACTCCTTTTCTTTATATAGACATTTTATTTATCTGAAGAGTGTTCAATCAAATGTGAAGTACAAAAATTTATCATGTTCTCAAAAAAAAATAGGTTTAATAAATAGGAAAGAGATGCAGTAGCCTTTGCTACATGATAAGCTGGAGATATTATTAGGTTGGAGATATTGTTTGAATGAACAGTAGTTCTTTGCTAATTTAAGTTACTTACTTGAGAAATTAGTGCAGTAGAAGCATTAGAATAATAAACTCCTGTTTAAAGTGTTTTAATACATTTTTCTCAAGGCTGATGTGTTTCCCTGAGGAAAACCTGATGGTTAATCTAAATTAACCTTAAATTAGGGATATGATATTTCATTATATATAGCCAGGAAATATTGAGGAAGTTCCTTTGGGGAAAAATGACCATCTGGGTGTGTGTACATCAGTACATTGTACAAAATAATATATCGCTTTGAGCTATGAGTTGGCACACCCATGCTTTTGTTAAAGGATTAAACCATTTAGAAGAATATAGTCCATGATCAAAATTATAGTGTGCCAAAAGTAGGCAAAAATCAGTGGACTCTAAAGAACAGGGATAATATTTAGTAATATAACACTCATATTATTCAAATTTTGCCCTTTATCTTAAGTTTTAATGTGCCTGCAAAATTAAGCCATTAATGAAAAATAATTGAATCTTGAATTGAACCTACACACTCAATATATGCTAAGATGCTTCTTAAGTGTACACACTTTAGAGTGCCGTTATGTAAATATTCCCTGCAGGTAAAGTGTTTGCTACCATAAGTGTCAGACTAGAACAGCATGTGACGTTCTCATGCCTGCATACAGGAGTTTACTTAACTAATGGTTAGACTATTTTTGCATTATATAAGGGTTAATAGAACTCAAGAGGGGTTGGACTTGGTCCATTTGTGGCTACCTAGAGACTCTAAGCTGATTCCTGTTTTGACTTCAGTCTGGGTTCTGCCACTCCTTCTCATAGCTATCTAAAATTATATAACAGATGTGGATAGCCTGTAGTTCTTAGAGCTGCTCCTTAATGCCTTTAGTTCCTTCGCTGTTGAGTGCTACTGAAAATTGTAATCAACACCCTAAATAGGTTTTACAGGGATTTAAAAAAAAATCAAGAAAACATTCAGACTCCCTTTAACACTTAGGAAAAAGTGAAATTCCAGACCTTGACCACAAGATAGAATCCTCCCTGTTTTGCATTACTGCTCACTGCCTGCAATTCTTCATTCCTCAGACGATACTAAGTCTTGTCCACTCCTGTCAGAAAGCTTCAGGACAGTTTCTTGTGTCCTAAATAAAACTCATAAAATAGCCTAATTATTCCCCTCCACCCCCTATATAGCCAGAGTCACCTTCCATGAGATGAGTGGCCATATAAATAAATAAAATAAATATAATAATTGTTATTAATTTGTGCTAAAGTAACTTTTGGTCATTGAAGAAACACATAAAGTAAATAGATTTTGAGAATGGTGATTAATATTCTATCCTTCATTTTTTCTCCCAAAGTGTTATATTTTGCTACTTAAAAACATGTTATGTATGAAATCTAGATATGCTAGTTTTCCTGGTATTAAAAATTGTTCCAAAAAACTTCTACCATTTGAAGGCAAGTAATCAACCAGATAGAAGAGCCAATTTAATGCACAACATGATGCTGCAAAAGCTTATGATATCCTAGTGGTATTGCCTTGCTAAAATCAGAAGATAGATGGAAAATTAAGGAATTCTCCTATTGAGAATTTGGAGTGTGCGAACTTTACTGCCAGGCTGTGAGACTGAGCTAAAAGATGGTCCTTCAGAAGGAAAGCCAGGGATGTAGAATAGGCAATAGATATTCATGGTGTGAATTTTTGCCAGCAGGAGGCTCTCCTTTAAAGCTGAAGTATGTAAAAACAATTTATAATACTTCTAAGATGTGATTTTAGATTGCTGTAGGACACGGGTGTCAAACTCGCTGTGTCACATGATGTGTTGCAACGTATGTGACTTTTTTTTTGCATTGCTGGAGCTGGAGTGGGCGCGGATTCCATATGATGCAACCGGCCCGTTTGACACCCCTACTGTAGGAGCTGTTCTCATTTCTGGGAAAATACACTAGTTTCAATAATTGGGGGGAAAATATAGCAACAAGATCAGAAGATATGGAGAGACCTGGCTTGTAGAATCACCAAGAGTCAGAAATGACTGAATTAATAATATCATCATCATCATTATCATCATCATCTAGATATGTCTTCAACTTTAATAAGAGTACATGTACCACCTGAGGAGCATGGATAGAAATTTATTTTTAAATGTGATATATTTTTATTAGCATTTAATTTCAGTTCAGTCATCTAAGCTCTGTTATTAATGTAATTATTGAAACTGTACATGCAGGCTTCGTGGGCTGCCTCCATTTCTTCCCATGTCTGTGAATCCATTCCAGATACGGTTTCAATTATCAGTTTGTATTTGATGTCAGGTGATGGGTTTATTGAATCTAAATGGAATGCATGCCTGGGAGCTAGAATATCAGCAGGGGCCATTAACTCTAATGCTTGCCTTTATTTATAAGGGAAACATAATGTTATCAGCTGGTTTGATCATGGTTTCATACATTTTACACACCAGTTTCAAACCTACTTTTTATATCACTGTCCATGGTATGGTATGAATTAAGAGGAATACTTTAATTGCAGGTTATTATTCATGTGAATTCATGCCACAGCTATTTAAAGCCTGTGATTAATACCGTAGTTATTAGGCTCCTCACTAAGAGATAATGATCTGCACAGGTTCTATTGATAAGGCATAATGATGGTTGTACAAAAGGTTTGGGTGAAAGAATAGCTTAGCTTCTGTTTGTCCCTTTGTAAAAGAATAATGTCAATGTGAAGATGCATTTCAGTACTAGCGAGAAGGAACACTCTTGCTTCATTTCAATAATATAAAAGCAAAAGATTCAAGAAAGGCAAAAAAAATCCCAACACTATGGCAAACGTATGAGTCACTGTGTGTGAGTAGGGCAGGTATATAAATTTGTTGACAAACAAACAAACAAACGAACAATGTGTGCTTGTTATTCTTCCCAAAAAATCATAGATCCATATATAGAGATACTAGAAGCTAGCTTAAGTGAACATTATGATAAAGAGTTATCAGTGAATGTGTACCATATATATTTAATAAATCAATCAAAGGTGGCCCTATGACTTAATATGGTGAATTTTCACTCTCATATTTAAATTGGGATGAAGATTTTGGGTTTTTCGTTCCTTCTGATAAAATCACTCATTTTCTTTGGTGAATTAACAGGTTGGAAGGCTGAATTGTAGTTCCAATGATAAGTTGCCCAACCCTGTATATATAAAGAAATTATCAGAAAAATACAATATCACAAAGGAGTGCAACTTCCTCACAGCAGGGGGCTGTAATATTTGATGCATTTGAAATTTCAATTTAATTTCTCTAGATAGAAACTATAACAAATCTATAAAAGGACATATGTATTATCACATTTATAACTCTAATGTTATCACATCAGCAGCTGCAGAGGGTAGATTTATAAGCCCAAGAAAATCTGTAGCTGCTTTAAAGACAGGTACTGTGTTCACATCCACATTCTTTCTAAAGCACTAAATACTTTATAGTCCTGTCCAAAGCCTTAGAAAGTATCTGCTCTATTCCCATAATTAGACACAAAAATATGAACAGTTTGCAGACAAAAATTTGCAGCATCCATTGTGAAATTGAGCTCCACTAGGCAGTTGAAATTTTGAAGATGAAGATAAAGATAGAAAAGCTTTACTAAATTAGACCAATGGTCTATCTAATACGTTGTCCTGCTTTCCTCAGTAGCAAACCAGGCAACTTATGAGTAAGTCAGAGTTTTATCAGGATAGTACTCCAACAATTAAGCTCTGCAGGTTGGAAATATTGGGAATTTTAGTCCCAATAAATATGGAGATACAAGGGTGGAGAATACTATTGTGCAAGAGAGATTCTTAGGATTATTATGTGAACATTGCAGTTCTTGTTGCAGTCCTAAAATGTCTGTAAAATTCTCTGACACTACCCTCCTTCCTTCCTTCCTTCCTTCCTTCCTTCCTTCCTTCCTTCCTTCCTTCCTTCCTTCCTTCCTTCCTTCCTCCCTCCCTCCCTCCCTCCCTCCCTCCCTCCGGATTAAATAGCTTTTAAGTGGTGCTTCCCAACACTACGATCCTGTGATTTTAGCTAGTGATATTAGAGCTTTGTTTGTTACCAGAACTGGCAACCTACAAGAAAGTGAAAAGCAATAGCAAATAAGCTTAAGAGTGTTTTCTTTGAACTTCCAGAAGCTTAGAGCAAAAACAGTGCTACTGTCTGATTAGGGTTGCTATATTGGAACAGCGGACTGAAATCCAAGCAATCACTAGAGGGCAGTAAAGAGTTAGCCTGCTGCCATCTACAGTAGTGGACATCTGGATTTTTGGAGTTCAAATCTGATATTTTTCAGCCTGCACATATACATACAGTGCATAGTTCTTGGTTGGGGTTATAAATGCAATCAAATTACTAACATAAAAGTCTTTAGGCGTTGATAGCTCCAACCAAACTTTTAGTACTAAAAAGAAACCAAATATGTTGTGGCCTGCTGCAGGGCTAGTGCTACTTATGTGACATTTCTCAAAGAGGGCACCCTAGATAGAATGAAATGGCAAGGAGAAGTAGGCTATGGCTTAGTGCAGGAGACAGTTTCGGTGCTTATTGATCAGGGTGAGCAGTACAATGGAAAAGAGCAGGTAGAAAAATGGGTAACATACAATGCTAACTGTCTATACCCCTTCAATCCCAAGAGAGGGCCTTGAGTTGGTACTGTTGTCCTTTCTTGAAAATCTTGGGCATGAGAACTGGGCTGCTCTCTTCAAGATAACTCCCGACTCTTTAACCCAGTATTTCTCAACCTTGACATGGTTAGGTGGGGAATTCTCAGCATTGAAATCACATGTCTTAATGTGGTCAGGCTTGAGAAACACAATTTCAACCCAAAAATAAGGTTCGGAAAAAGGCTCTTTCTGGGAGGTTTGCCTTTGTAACTCAGACAGGTCTACTCCAGATTTTGAGAAATGTCTTGCTGAATCTCACCTCTCATTGGTCTAATTTCCCGCCTTTCTTTCTTCCCTCTTTCTGCAGCTCATTGGAGATGACGTGCTATGACAGTGATGAAGCCAATCCCCGCAGCGTATCTAGTCTGTCCAACCGTTCCTCCCCTCTCTCATGGCGATATGGCCAGTCTAGCCCACGCCTGCAAGCCGGAGATGCTCCTTCGGTCGGTGGGGGCTGTCGCTCAGAGGGCACTCCTAGCTGGTACATGCACGGGGAACGAGCTCATTATTCTCACACCATGCCCATGCGGAGCCCCAGCAAGCTCAGCCACATTTCCCGTTTGGAGCTGGTGGAATCCCTTGATGCTGATGATGTTGATCTTAAATCTGGGTACATGAGTGACAGTGACTTAATGGGCAAGACGATGACTGAAGATGATGATATCACCACAGGGTGAGTACCTCAGCCCTCTAGAAACACCAGTTGACTATTTAAAATTAGGCTTGATGTTCTGTATATAGTAATAGCCAAGGCAGATCAGAACCATGTTGACAGATTATATTTCTGCATTTTTTTCTTCCCTTTGCTATGCAACTATTTCACTGGCAGGTTAGTGATAAATACCCAAGACATGCAATAGAGCCAGATACATTTGTTGGAATATATATATATATATATATATATTATATATATATATATATATATATATATATATATATATATATATATATATATATATATATAGTAGACAGGGATTTAGATAAAGACATTTATTGGATTATTACTTCCAAAGAAAAAAGGAGCTTGTCCAATGTGATACTGTTAGAGCAGATTAATCCAGATGGATAAAGTTTAGTGATTATATGGAACACATGTTTCTAATCAAATGTTTCACTGACAATGATATTTTCAAGCCTAAATACTTTACTTGAAGTGAAGTAGAACTAAATGTCTATGCAATATTTTAGGACCAGTTGTTTAGCAGCTAACCATTCTGGTAAACACAGTTTTAGCTAGTGAGCATTTTTAAAAGAATGAATAACACATGATTTGTCTTGCACCATGTGGTAACCACATTGTGGCTTATTAAACTGTGACTGGGTTAACTGAGCATATTAATCCATAAACAATAAGTAGCTAAACTAAAAACAAAGAAACCATAATATTGCTTAATGTCATGTATGAACCAAGTTGTGTAAACATCTTATAACTGAAATTCTATCTTTTCTGTCAGAAATTTACTTGCATTGTTTTATTAATTCTTTTCTCCAAGCGCCATATTTCTTACCTTTTAGGAATGACAATGGATGAAGGAATCTGGGTAAAATAAAATAAAAAAGACTCAATATTTACATATTTTACTGTTTTTAACTTTTAAACTGATAACATGATCTTTAGGGTTGTCTCATGGATATGTGTCATACAGATACTGTATATATATATCCTGTATATAAACTATATGGAGTCTGACATAAAGATTTAACTAATGTTGCATCATTTTTAGCATCTGGTATCTGGAAAAACATATCCTAAATCATCATCTGAAATAAACAAACTTTAAAGGGGTATTAATAGTACTTTGAATTTTGTACAAATTGTATTTTCCTCCATTGCATCCCCTGATTTTATGATATTTGATAACATTCGTTAATATAGTGTTGAGTGCAATAAAACTATGTGTTAATTTTAATATTGTTCTCGGTGTTGGGTTGATTGTAAATGAAGGGTCTTGTTTTTCTTTGGCTGATACCTCCTGTTGTCAGAGAGAGATGGATGCTAATATAGTGAGATATTATGTCATACATTTTCCATTTAAAAGTCCCAGAGCTCCATCAAGTGAAGGGATGTAGACATGGTCCTAAAAATACATATTATAGGAAATTGTGCTGAAGAATCCTTGTTGATTACAGAACTTTGGTCTACAGATATGATAATGACAAGTTTTGAATCCCGTTATGAAGCCTCTTAACATTGCTATTATTAGAATATAGAATAAACAAGCTAATCACTAATACAGATCAGACAGAAATAGGCAATGTGTGACTGAAGTGTGGTTTTCCTATGGGAACATCAAGAGTTCTTGTGAAGCAGTGAGTAGCTTTGGGTAGCCAACAGATCTTATTCTTGATCTTTGCTTGTAAGTTTTCCTCCTCTATGAAACAAAAATGCCATCTCTTAATTTCTGGAAAAAAATAATAGATAACATAGTTTTCATCTAAAACTTCTTGCTAGGAAAAAAAGATAATCAATGTTTTCATCATCTCATGCTACTCATTATCACACTTAAAGTCCTGAATGGATGGTGCCTATTTATCTCTCCTTGAGGATATCTGCCCAGCTCACCAGCTTGAACAACATGAATATGAATTAGGTTCCTTTCCTTAAATATTGTCACCTAGTGAGACCTTAGAGATATGTCTCCCCTCTAGGTGTCCCAGCTCTGTGGAACTCAAGCCCTCTTGAAATCTAGAAAGTGTCTACCCTTTTGATCTTCTGGAAGGCTGTAAGCCCTGACTGTTCCCCCAGGTAGTGGAGTTGATGAGTGTTATGGCACTGGGATGGGAAATGTGCTTCTTCATGCATGAGTGATGTGATTGGTTTATTGTTTTTATTGGTTTTGTTGTGAGCCAAGTAGTACTCTGACATATAAGATAAGCGGCCATATAAGTTTTAAAATAAATAAATTATTATATTATAAAAGACAGTACCTTAAAAATGGATTATATACAGTATATATAAAATACTCTTTTTATAACTATTGCATTTGTCTTCTTTCTTCTTCTGTTTTCCCTTTTTTGTATTTGTTTTTTAAAAGAACAAAGAAATAAAACAAACTTCCAGAGTAATGTTTAAAAAAATTCATTTCTTTTAAAACAGCTGCAACTTTTCAAAATTAAGAATCATAGAAATGTGGGATTTGAAGTAATGACTTTGCTGCTGTGTTCTTCTTTGTTCTGAATTAAGGGACAATTCTCTTCAAATAAAAGACAGCTGCCCACATGTCTACTGTAAACTAATTAATTACTTGCAGAGGAGCTGTCTCATTGAACATGGGATAGTAGGATGGGACAGAAAATTTCTATGATTTTACCATTGATATAAAACAGGAGATTGGCGTTATCAATATGCTGATGATATGCCGTATACATTTCAACCTCAGGTTGCACAGGTGAAGCTGTCAGTGTATTAACACTGGGGCTGTTTGGGTCAGAATGGGGAGGAAGAGATCAGCTCAGTCCTTGCAACATTGAATGGCGCTGGCTGTTTGGGCTTCCTGAGTTAGGGAAATTTTCACCATTAGCCATGGATTTTGAGACTGGTATGCAGTTTGGGGCTCTTCAGGATATGCAGCAATTCCTCAGTGGTTAGGTGGTAGCTGTGGCCAGAAGGGCTTTTGCATAGATTCATCATTGTCTGGATACTATTTGGGCTTGAATGGGGTGGAACAGACTTTGGCTTAATACTAACAAAACAGAGTGGCTGTCTTGGTCAGGGATTATTACCATTGTTGGTCTTGAATGGGGATGCATTTCCTCATTCAAGACCGATATACAACTTGGGGCTCCTTCTTGAATTACAGCTATGGCCAGAGGCATCTTTGCACAGGTTCATCTCGTATGCCAGTTGTATCCTTTCCTTAAGGCTCTTCAGACATTTGTTCATGCTCTGGTCACCTTATGATTGGATTGTTGCAATGTGCTCTATGTTGGGCTATACTTACAGATGATCTGCAAGATAAAGCTGGTTACAAATGTAACTGCATGAGCAGTAATGGGCATTGTCATTTTGTAGGACCAAGGAAGTGTGCCCTTCTGTTGCGCCCCCCACCCCTAGAACATCATCTTCCCTGAGACAGGGACAGGTTTCTAGAAAGTTTGAAGTATTGAGTCCTGGCAACTGCCTGGACACTTTCCTGAAGTTTTCTTGAAAAGATTTGGCTTGCCATGACCTTCTTCCTACATCTGAGAGACAATGATCCAGAGTCACCCAGCTGTCTTTATGCCCAAGGCAAGATCAGAAGAGTCTCTGGGTTTCTAGCCTGGTTTCTTAACCACTATATCAAAATTCCTCTCAGTCCCTTTAGTTTTCTTGACAAGATGTTGGAAGCAGTTTGTCACTGCCTTTTTCCTGGGGCTGAGGATTCATATTTTAATATCTACTGAGAATTGAAATGCACACATTTTAAAGATGTCAGGTTTGAGAAACCCTGATTTAGAAGTCAGTTCTCAATTCTTTTTATTTATTTTTTTCTCCCTGTTTAAATCTGCTGCAGCTGCCTCTAAGGGCACCTGCAGCACCAAAGACATCTCTCTCAGTCAGAGACTTAGGTCATCATTAAATAACTAAAACTTTGACAATTACCCAACTCTTCTCATTGCACAGTTAAAAAGGCAACCAAGATTGAGTGGACTGTTCAGCCTAAGTCAGAATACTAAAACACAACTCAAATGGGCCAATTTATTTGTTTGCAGGTCTACAAGGCTTGCAGAAAACTGGCAGATATTCAGGACTTGTTGTTCCTGCCAGTGGATGAGCACAGAAATGTTTCAGTCTAAGCTTGTCTACATGCCAGTAAGAAGTGTTTATCCTGCCCTCTCAGTTTTGAGCTAAAAAATGCTCCTCTCCTATGAAAAATGAAAAAAACACACATTCTATAGGCTCACATTAATGGAAGGCACTGAGTCACTGAGGCACTGAAACTATATTTGAGTCCATTTGCTTAGACCCAATATCCAGTTCAGTTTTGAACTTCTCCCCCAAAATGACATAGTTCCCTTTATTTATTTTTATTCTTAGAAGTATAGAGCTGGAAGGAACCTTGGAGGTCTTCTAGTTCACCCCCCTGCTCAAGCAGGAGAACCTATACCATTTCAGACAAGTGACTGTCTAGCCTTTTCTTAAAAATCTCTAGTGATGGAGCGCCCACGATTTCTGAAGGCAAGCTGTCCCACTGGTTAATTGTCCTCACTGTCAGGAAGTTTCTTCTTAATTCCAGGTTGCTTCACTCTTTGATCAGTTTCCAACCATTGTTTCTTGTCCTGCCTTTTGGTGCTTTGGAGAATAATTTGACCCCCTCTTCTTTGTGGCAGACTCTCAGATACTGGAATGCTGCTACCATGTCACCCCATTTCTTTTTATCTTTAGACTAGCCAAGCCCAAGTCCTGCAGCCGTTCTTCGTATGTTTTAGTCTCCAGGTCTTTGATCATCTTAGTTGCTCTCTCCAAACTCTCAACATCTTTTTTGTGATACGGTGACCAAAACTGGCTGCGGTATTCCAGGTGTGATCTTACTAGGGCTTTATAAAGTGGTACTAATACTTCACATGATCTTGATTCTATGCTTCTGTTTATACAACCCAGGATTGTATTAGCTTTTTTTGGAGGCTGCTGCACATCGCTGGCTCATAGTCAAGTGACCATCCACTTTTGATGTAATAAACAAAGAAAAAAGT